ACCCACCGTCTTGCAAAGAGCGTCTGGCCATCAGGACGACGTAAACACCGGCCGCTGACGTTCACTGAATATCAGGAGCAATTTAAATTCATCTGTGTCTGCTCTCATCCTCCAGCACTGATCTCCTCCCACAACAAACCAACCATCCAACAGGCAGCCTGTATTTTGGCTGTTTCAGCTCATGCTGCCGTAGGCCCTTCTAGACTGCACATCCCTCGTGGCTGTTGGCCCAGGTCCCCCGCGTGCACGTTTCTTTGTGTGCATTGCTGTATGTGCCGGCCACCCACTGCACACGTTTCACACCTCCCTTTATTAACCGTCTCACTCAGCATCCTTGGCATGCACTATACATTGCAGTTATTTTAGTTTGTGTGTCTGGCTTGGCTCCCACAGACTATGACTCCATGGGTACTTTTCTGCAATGCTGAAATTAGTAGATGTAGAAACTCACTGCCCTTGGGAATCAAGCTTATTTATATGCCTAATTATAAATGCTTGTGTCTGACTTCAGCACCTATGTTTGAAAATCTTGGTCACAGTCATTTGATCTTTCATGGAAAAATCTTACAGAATTTCCTAAGGAAGAAGCCAGTGAGGTTCTAATGAAATTATTCTAAATTCTGTTTATAGTTTGCTAGAACTTTCCTGTAGTTTTTGTAAGCCATCTTGTGCAAGGGAGATAGGGCTTCAGTCTGCAAATGTCGTAGAATGGTTCAAACATCTGTAGAAATGCTACTGGTTTTGCATTTAATCTTACAGAACTTTCCCACAAAGGATGGCCTTTTGGGGGCAGTGAACAAGCTGTGACAAGAGCTGTTAAATCCATTGGCCCTTGTCATCACAGAAAAATCAGTAGATTTGTGTTTTAAGAAAAAAGAAGAAAAATAAAAAACTGGGATTTTCATGTTTTCTTCCATTGCCTGTGCTCATGAGAGGGAATCGTTGTTATTCCGAGAGCGGTGTCAGGCAGGGACATTATCGAAGTGCTGCCCAAAATGCTTGTGGATGCTCTCAAGGTGACCGTGTCCTATTACCTTCCAATTCTGCGAGCCAGAAAAGAGAAGCAAACGCTGAGGCTATCTGCCATTAGCATTAGCCCACGATGGCAGCTGCCCTTATTCCTGGAGCTCTGCCATTGGCTCACACAAAGCCGAATGACCCAGAGAGCTTAACAGAATGCAGCACGGAGCGTCGAATTTGTGGGGAAACGGCACTGTTGGTGGCTGGGGCATTTTTTTCCTGATGAAAGTCACTTTTTGTCCCGGGGGCATGTAATGCATGTGCTGCCAAGGCTGTCAGCTCTGGATTCTTCAGGCAGTCATGCTTGGCATGAAATATCGCTTTGCCCTTCCTAGCATCTTTCATGCATGACTTGCAGAGCACTTTACAAATGCTCAGCTTAGCCTTGCACTGGCCCTGATGTGTTATAACCCATCAGTGTGTTTCTCCTGCTCTGCTCTCCCCCTCTTCACCAGGTCCTTAGCTCCCTTTGTCTCCCCTGCCTTGTGGCAAGGGCCTCACTGCTTCTGTAAATGCTAGAAGCCTGGTCCATCTCCCCCTTTCCCCAGAACTGCTGAAAAAACTTTGCTGTCCTCACAAGTAAACTTCCAGCTCCGGATCACATCGGCAGACTCAGGTGGGTGGGGGATGCTCAGCCTCATCCTCCCTGAGACCCACCGCTGACCCAGTACTGCAGAGAAGGACCTGAGGCTTATGCTGGGCCGAAGGCTAGATATGAACCACTGACATGTCTGGTTGCAAAGAAAGCCAACAACACCCTGGGTTGTGTAAACAGGAGTGTCGCTTGCAAATTAAGGGCAGCGATTCTGCTGCTCTATTCAGCACCAGGAGTACTGTGTCCAGTTTTGAGCCCTGCACTTCATGAAGGATGTGGACAGACTGGAAAGAGTCCAGTGCAGAGTGACAGAAATGATTAGGGCCCTGGGAAGCAAGACTGATGAGGAAAGGCTGAAAGAGCTATGCTTATTTAGTCTGGAGGAGAGAAGACTGAGGGGGGATTTGATAATAGTCTGCAAATACAGTACCTGAAGGGTGAATATAGAGGGGATGGAGAAGGGCTTTTGTCTGTGGCCACAAGGGACAGGATTAGGAGCAATGGCCTCAAGCTGCAGCAGAGGAAATTTAGGCTGGAGATTAGGAAGCACTTTCTGGTCTGGCATTGGAAGAGATGACCTGGAGAGGTTGCAGAATCTCTACTCCTGGCAATTTTCAAGAACGGGTTGGACAGACACTTGGCTGGGGTGTTTTAGTTGTGTCGATCCTGCCTTGAGCAGGTGGCTGGACTAGATGACCTCATGAGGACTTTTCCAGCCCAACCTCCCTATGATCCTAAGCCCTGTATTGTAGGTTAGGCAGAAGTCAGGCATGTCAATCCAAGCGAGCTATCCACAAAACCCATGCCTAACCACCTAGGTGCCTGGCAAACCATAGGCATCCATAGCTCAGCCCAGTGTACACAACCCATTGTGTGCACACAGCCCAGTAGTCGCACAGCCCACCTTAGCTGAGTTGGCTGTTTGGGTCTCTAACTGCTGCCTTAGTTTGGGAGCAAGGGGTGGGATTTCACCTCCACATCGACACTTCCTGATGGCTGTTTTAGGCCTCTTCCTATTTAGCCTGCTGAGTGTTTTAAATCCCCATCATAAGCGCCGAGGTTGTCCACACTGCAGTACTGACAGGTCCTGGCAAGGAGGGTCCTGCCCGCGTCCCACCCACCCCTGCCCATTGACGTGCTCCAAGCCTCGAATTTCATGCGTGAGGCTACTCCAGGCTTGTCCCCAGGGACTGTTCACGGGCTTTGTGGTTGAGCCTGCTCGGCATCACCATGCCCAAGGCTTTCTTTGGGTCTAGGCCTCACGAGTAAAATATAGGAAGCAAGACACCTGGGTGGCTACAACAGACCGGGGAGCACAAGGCAATAGTGAGACGGCTCTGACCGGGGTAGCAAGCAGTGCTCATGTCAGCTGCCTCGCCACTGCCAAGTGTGTGCAGACATCACGCCTGAGGAGAGTTCGAAAGAGAAGAATTTTGAAGGAGGGTAGGGGAGATTTATTATAAGAGCGTGTCCAGTGCAGAAGGGGTGTGTCATGGGAGAAAGTGCAACGGTGTGTGAGAGAAAAGGGAGCTGGCTCTCAGCACATCTTGTTGCTCTTTTCCTTTTGGTCCCACCTATCGCAGCCCTTAGTCAGGCCACGGCTCTCACGTTCCTGAAAAACTATGAATTCCTCCCTCTGGCCTCCCTGGCTTTCCTCCTCATTGTCCTCCATCAACCTAGCATCTGTGCTGTACCATAAATGCTCTTATCCCCATTTCATATCTGGATCAATGGAGGCACAGACTGGACTCCTAATACAAACTCTGCCTGCTTGGGTGAAGGACTCAACATCACTCCGAGCCACCTACCTGCTCTTCTGCGTGGTACTTTCCACACAGGGCTTTATTTGTGACTTGCTGGGCTATGATCACCATATTTGGGGTCAGGAAGGAGTTTTACCCCGTGGTCAAATTGGTAGAGATGGTGGGGGTTTTGCCTTTCTCTGTGGTGGCGGCATGGCCCTCTACCTGGGATCTCTTGAGCATATATTGCCCACATTTCATAGAAGCGGGACATTGGCTTCTGCGGTTCCCTTGCTTTACCTATGGCAGGTTGGGTCTGTGATGTGTCAGGGTTGACGGTAGTCTTATGAAGGGTTGAGATTAGGGATTGTATGGGCTGGTTTGGACAGGGATGATCCTGCCTCGGGCAGGGGGTGGGCTAGATGTGACCCCCGGAGCTCCCTGCCAGCCCCGTGGCTCTGGGATTTTATGATCCCGGTGGGTCTTGCTGGAAAGAGGCATGAATGAGTGAGGCACAGTCCCAGTCTTTGCAACGATGCTCATTCCTTTATTGTTGTCACTGTTGGTTCACTGAAGGGTGCTGGCCCTTTCTGTTCCTTCCCAGCACTAAGTCAAAGCTACATTACAGAGTATTGAAGAGGTGTCCATCCAAAGCCGGGGGGGGTGGAGGGGGTGAGGACCATGACCTCTCAGTATTGTATGTATAATATATATATATTTATATATGTCCTGTATATTTATATGTATAGAGTGACAAGGATGGGCCACCATACAGTAAAGTTTTGTTTTTCAATAAATCACCATAGCTACAGGCACAAAAATTTGGTCCTAATCAAGGCCCTCACCTTGTCAATCAATCAGTCAGCAGATCAATCCAAAAAAAAAAAAAGAAAAAAAGAAAAGAAAAACCAAACAAAAAACCCCACAACCCACTAACCCCCTCTGGAATTTGCCCCCTGTACAGTCACTCACATTGAAGGTAAATGGATCCCTTGGCGACACACTTGTGCCCACCCGCACACACCTACATACATTCATATGTAAATACATACAAACCAACATACAAAGAACATTGGAAATATACATCTGAGGTTGTTGCAGCAACGCAGTGAGGCTGTGGAAGGGACCCAGTCTGCCGTACCAAGGCGGAGGGAAGACACCGCTGCTAACTCCTTGGCTCTCCTCTTTACTAATCAGTATTTATTTACAGCCTTCCTTGGTTTTTGTGCTAAGATCATGAGGTTATCGGCAGCAGCAGGTCGACGCAGAGAGCGCACACGAGATTTTCAGACGTACACACGCGAGAGACGCGTCAAAGCGGCACTTGGGCATTGAAAGCAGCTCAGCCCACCCCTGCACACGCAAATACACACACGCACACATGCACACAAACACACACACACCTGACTTAACACCGGCAACAGGGGGCACTTTGCTGTAGGGCTTTCCTGAAACCCTGAAAGCCAAAATTTGGAGCTGGGCTAGTGCTGCGCTGTGACCCCAAAGTGTCTGCGTCCAATGACCAACCCCGGCAGCCACCCAGGAGGGGCATCAAAGGAAGCCGGCCATGTCAGTTGGGAGAGTGCTCGCACGGATCCCGTCCTGGCTGTAATCCTGTCTGAATTCACCGTGGCTCTGGAAATACCCTCCCGTGGGCAATCAGGTGCTGCCCAAGGGGCTGCGGGGCGGGGGGTGCCATCTCTTGAAGGGAAGGCTTGCCGGTCAACTAGGCTTTATGTCTGCACATCCTCCTCCGAAACACCCTGCTAAAGACATGAGCAGGAGTATCGAGGTGGGTAGGAAACGGTGGGCATCAGCATGTCTAAAACCAGGGGTATTCAAAATCAGGAAAACCAGCCTGCGCTGAAGACATGTAACTGGATGATCAGAGCAACAGGGCGTCTGCGTTTGCCTACAAGCACGTGTGCGTGGGCAGCTCAGGCAGTCGCTGCAGGTAGCTCTTGTGCTCTACCGAAAGCCCCGCAGCTCTCTCCGGTTGTGCTTGAAGCGTGGCGCACAGCGAGGACACAGCCAGCTTTCTGCAAGTCAGGTTGAACATATCTGCGTGGTAGCAGGAGCCTGAAGAGGGAAGGTGGGAAGGGCACTTCTGCACCCGTTTCTGCCAGGCCGAGCTCCCCCACGGTAAAAGGATGAATAGACAGAAGATAGGGAAGGCGGTAGCTCAGGGAGCTGGGATAGGCATGTGCTACCTGCCATGGGTACGCATGGGCACGCGGTTGCTTTTGACCCACCCCCAATCCTGAAGGCTAGTTAGATGCCCAAGTCACCCTCTGGATGGTGCTGGAGATAGGCTATTTCCACTGTGTTACAGTATTTCTGCCAGCGTTCCCAGCGGCTCGCTCTCCCCTTGCATCTGGACAGGAAAGTAATGCTCTGAAGACCTACAAGGCACGAGCTGGGCTCCTGGGCGAGCGAAGGAAGCAGAGCTGCCAGTTCAAGCCAGCACAGATGCTGCCGCTCCCTCTCCACGCTGCGTAGCAAGCTCTGGGGTCACAGCAGCACCGAGGGGAAATAATCGGCTTTTTAGCTTTAGCTCCTTTGCCCTGCATAAAATCCAGCCATCCGGGGGTCTGCCAGTGGCTCGCCATTTGGGGCCTCCATGACTCCAGCCCCACGAAACCCGATCAGCTCCTCCTCCCTCAAAATATAATGAGACCAGGGCTCGGTCTCTCACCCACTCCTGTAGAGATGGGGAGATGGCCGAGTATTTGAAAGGGGGCCCCGGGAGCGCCTGCCTTTCAGTCTGCGTCTCCTCTCCTGCAGGTCCTCATTTTGGTAATGTGGAGATAGGTCAGAGGGGGGCCAGGCTCATCTTTCCTCTTCACGCTGCTTCGCTGTGGCTCTCGCCCTGGCAAAGGGACATCTGTGACCACGGAGAGAGCAGGAGTCCATCGAGCTTGCATTCGTCCTGTGGCTCTGGCGCAGGCTGGCCCAGCCTCTGGCCGGCACTGCCCCGTGGCAGCCCCTTCCCTGCTTCCCACACCATCGCAGGGACTCCCGTGAGGCGGCTTGTCATCGGCTGCTTATTTTCAGCTGGATGTGCTTCTCGCTGTGGCTCCACAAGCCCTGTGCAGACTGCAGATCAGCAGGGCCGGAGTCCAACCGGCTAGGCAGTGCCTGCCCCTCTCACGGCAGCTACCTGCCCAAGTCACCTGAATCAAGGCAATGCAATGCACAAGATGTGCTGTCCTTCCACCGTCAGCAGCTGGAAAAAGCAGGGGAATGCCTTGGTAATAAACGTTGACCCCAATGGAGGGTTGCACTGGAAACTTTTCCAGTTTGGAAGCTCCTTGCTGGCCTGTCGGGAACCTCAGCACATCCTGGAGCGGCGGGCAGCTGTCCTCGTCTTTAATAAGGGGACGTGACCAGAAGAGACTGCAGGTCTCAGCATGCAGCAGGCAAAGACGCATTTAATCCAGGGCCTGTGCTTAGCCCTGCTGTGCCTGGGAGGTGAAATGGCTTAGCAGGGGGTTCCTCTTTCATCTCTTCAAGCCAAGCTCTGCACAAGGAGGGACTAATTTGCTCGCCTGGGTGAAAATGGACTTGGCAGTTAGCAGCCTTGTAGAAGAAGAGGCAGCTGCCTTCATTACATGAGCAGGCAGCTCCTTCCCTTTTCCAGGCCTAGCTCATTTTACCTCTTCTCCTCTGCGGCAGCTGTGGAGGAGAGAGGAGGGAAGGAACGAGGGTCTTTGGTACAATGGGTCTCGTGGCTCCAGAGAGGACGTTGTTCATCCACGATACAGTTTCACATCCTGGGATGATGCTTTTAGGCAAACAGAACTTGTCATGGGCCCTGGGAGAAAGTCTCCGTCCCCTCCACGTGCACCGTCTCCCGTATGGAGAAGAACAAGTGTGTGTCCAGGCCTTCAAGGCAAATGTGCGCAAGGAATGGACAAATGGAAAGGAAAGGATCCTCCCTAATCTAATGAGATGCTTCATCACCCCAGTAGACCCTGCTGCACCTCAGCCGGCTCTCAGGCCGGGTGGATCGTCCAGACTGAACTCCAGTCTCTGCCCCCCGGATGGGAAGGACAGGCCTGCCTGATGCCGTACCAGGCCAAAAGCGGCACTGGGAGGGAGGAAGGACCAAGAGCTTCTCGCCGGGCTTGGAGGGCAGAGGAGCCAAGACTTTCTGAGGTGACAGGGGAAAGAGGAGCGAGTACCCAAGAAGCAGAGGGAACATGCTGTGGTGAAAGCGGAGTATGCCCTGGGTTTCAACAGCCATGCAACTAGGAACAGATCCTCCCAGGGAGCCTGGCATAGGCGACGAGTGGTCACATCCAGCATTGTCTTAGTCCCTGGGGCCTGGCAAACCACTTTGCTCTCTGCCTGTCCTCTCTCCAGCTACACATCTGCTAGGCATCCCAAACCCATCACCCTCTGCCTCTGCTTGGGACACCCACCCACCGACCCTATCTCCGGGAAGGACCGCCTTCCTCAGCTGCTCAGTGCTGGTCACGTTTGACTCACGGCTTGCCCCTGCCCCCCCAGAGCCCCCGCACTGGCCCACGGGCGAGCAGTGGGCCACATGTCATATCACCTGTCCAGGTCGGCGTGCTCCTCCTGCCTCAGGACGCTGGCCCTTCACTGACTTTCCCTGTAGCTGCCAGGACCCATGGGCATTTTCATTTCTGTGAGTTCCTGCTCCGATAAGATAATGTAACTCCCCGGACTCGGTGTGCTTCTCTGGGGAGAAAAGGACGGCGGTCTCCCTGGGTGCAAGGGGTGCTATGCCCACCAGACCAGGGACCGCAAACCACGGTGAGTGTTAGATGGGCCAACCGAGCTGTTCTAGCCATCACAACATCCCTACATCATGGGAAAGTCTCATCTCACCCTCTCAGTTCAATGTCCTCTGCGACCGCCATGCATGTCACGGTGCTGAGATTCACGGTGACGCTGCTGCACCGCTGTCAATACAGCCCGGAAGGCTCCTCTTTGTCTGTGGCAAGCCCGTGCAAGGTCCGACTGCCAGGAAATCTGAAACCACTGGTGCAACAGCCGTCACCTCCCTTTGCACAAGCCTGGTGGTGAACTCCACAGGGTCCGGCAAAGCAAAGAGCACCCCCCAGCACCAAGCACACGGAGAGCTCTGGGCAGTCTCCTCTTGCAGCAAGGCCATCAGTGTCGGGGGCTTGCTTCTCTCCTGCCTTCCCTCCTTGGAGGAGGATAACTGTATGTTAAGGATGGGCAGCCCATCAGTGGTACCAAGGAAATGCAGCTTCGCCTCCCTAGGAAAAGCACCAGCACCTCACAGCTGCTTGCTCAACATCAGCGGGGGCTGGATGCCAGCAGCCCCGGGGGTGATCTGCATGGTGCCCACGACCAGCCTGGGATGTTCGTCAGGATGAACGTGCCTCCTGACTCTGCGTCGCAAAACCACTCCATAAATAAATACATTAAATAAATAAAGTGACCGGTCTAGAAGGGGGGGGGGACCCGGCTCCAAGCGTCTCACACAAACACGCACGCACACGAAGTAGCTGAAGACAGAGACGAGATGGGACCGGATGCGGGGACGAGGCTGCCAGCTGCGGGGGGGCCCTCGCCGGGCCCAGTGCTCCCAGCAGCAGCCAGTGCGGGGTGGCAGAGTCCTTGCTCTGTGAAGGAGGGAGGGGAGCGGGGGCTGCAGGATGTCACTCGTGAGCCGGCGTCGTGGGGGGGCGCTGGGAGCTGGAGGCCAGGGAAACGTGCGTTGTTGAAGACGGCAGCGACCGGGGCGTCTGGCACCTGGAGCGAGGCGAGAGAGAGTGAGAAGCTGGTTTCCTAGACGTATTCCACGTTCTCCTCCCCGTCCCTCCTCCTGTCCTTCCATCCAGATCCACTCACAAGTGGAGCATCCACCTGGTTTGCTCTGTTATTTCCTTCCCAGGCAGCAACAAAGGAAATCCAGGGCAGACACAGGCCTATGCATATCTCAGGAGGAGGCGTGAAACGCTCAGTGAGTCACCAAAAGGCCTGCTCTGCCCTTCACACCCCAGTATGAGGTACACCGAGTGCAAGGTCTTGCCTTCTGTGTACCTTGCTGCCTCGCTCCACCCCAGAGGCAGCTGCATTTTGCTGGTGCTGGTTATTAAGGGCTCAGAGACAGGAGACCCAGCATGTGTTTGGTGTCGCCACCCTCCTGCTGCTCTCACTGGTTTAGCAGCAGTTGCAAGCAGGATTTAGTGTTGAAATGCATTTTTGAAGGCACGGCCCACATTTTCCTGGGCCGTCATTTGCTGGCAGGAACTTTATGAAGTCCCAGGGGAGGTGGGGGCGTTGCAGTTGCTCTCTTCCTGTCCCGAGGTCCCAGCCCCTCCCAGCGTATATCCCCCATCGTGTGCCCAGCTGGCGTCAGAGTGTCAGGGAGGTTTCAACCCAGCATGTGCTCACCAGGACCTGGACTTCCTGACGCGGGAGGCCACTGGCCGCTCCAGGAGGCTGTCCAGGCGCATCAGCCTCTCGAGGTGCAGAGCCCGTGGGTCCTGCTCGCCGGGGTCCCTGGTCCGCTCAAACTCAAACACGGCCGGCGGAGACAGGTCCAGCTCCAGAAACATGATGTTCTCAGCCTGCAGCGGAGCGGGACAGAAACAAAACCCAGGCAGGGATTCACTGCACAGGCAGCTGGGCAAGGGCTCGTACAGAGCTGGGTATCAGCAGACTTTCTTCTCTGCCAGCCCTAGCGGCTACAGGGGCTGGTGCCCGCAGTGCTAGCCCAAGGTCTATTTGGTGTGGTGTACCATGCATGGAAAGGACTCCCCAGGTCAGGGTAAGGTGGGATCCACTGCATGTATGGGGTTGGAGCAAGCGTGATACCTCCACTAGTGAACGTGGCCGGCAGAGGTTAGGATTGGGGGTGCCCACCCAGTGCCCACCCTCATCCACCTCCCTCACTCACCCGGTACCTAGGGTGGGATCCCATCGCCATGGCCACCCGTGCATACTGGCTGATGGGTCTCTTGTAGCCCACGGCAGAGGTTGGCCTCTTCTTCATCTGGCTGCTGCTGCTGAGGAAACTTTTTTAATAAGCAAACATTTTTTAGGGAGAAAAAATAAAGCGAGACAAAACATGGAACAGGCCTCCCTGGGGCCCCTCTATGGGGATGCTGACTGCTGATGCTGTCCTGTCCTCCCTGTCTCGTGCCCAGGGTTTGCTAAGCTACTGGGAGAGTCATCCTTCTTAGTGGGAGGTCTGGGACCTCCAGGGTTTGGCCCCATTCATAGACTGCCCTTAACAAGTGCAATGTCTGCATGCGCAGTGAGTGTCAACCCCTGGCTGGAGATGGACTGTCCGCCAAATTTCGAAGGGTTGCGGCTAATGGCAGAGGGGGATAATTAGAACTGAATCAGTCCGAGCAAAGACCTCAGCCCTGAAACAAACATGCCGGTCTGTGGAATAGGCTCACAGGTGGAGGAGCTCTCCTGCCAGTCCCTGGATGGGACGAAGGAAGGCTGTGTGTTACGGTGGGGGGCTAAAAGGCATGGAGGGAAGAGAGATTTGGAGAGGAAGTAGACACATTTCCAAAGGGATCTGGACTTCCAGCCCTTTTGAAGCTGGGATTAGTCTCAAAGGCCTGGATAGTGCACTCTCTGCTGCAGCAAATCAGCCTGTGCCTGGTATCTCTAGGCCGAGCGGCCCATGGAGCGCTTCTCTGTGGTCCAGAGAGCACCCGGGGATTATAAAGTCTGGGCAGGAAAAGAGGTGGTTGACTCAAAAGCTCCTGTCTACAGGAAGAACCTGACAGCTGCTTAGCTGCCTCCATAAGGGGCTGACCCTCAGGACCTGAAGGAGCGCTGGGGGCAAAGGAGTGAAGAAACACAACTGCCAAGCTTGGGCATCTGAATGTGGAGAATGGAGGTGGGATGGATCGCTGGAGAGGGGCTTAGCTTAGGGTGTGGAAGAGGAGGAAGGACAGGAGGTGAGAGGGAGGTGTCAGCACTGATTAGCAGGCATAAGAGGTGATCCCACTCCTGCCACCAACTCCCTTGTGCGACCTTGGGCACATCCCGGAATTTTATAGCCTTGGTCCCTGTGATGCTGGTTCCTTTCCCCACCCTTCACCTTGTCCCTTTAGGCCCAAATCACGAAGCTACTAAGAGCCTCGAGTAAGAAGCCAACAAGCCAGGGCCTGAGCCGTGACACCAAGTCACGATTTGGCACCTGCTTCCCCCTTGCTCCTGGAAGGCTGGACCTCGTGCCAGCCTTTCACAAGGGGCAGGCTATTTCCCTCTTCAGCCCAGGAGCGAGACCGCTGTCCCCAAACGGTGTCCGTACCCGCCGGCAGACACGAGCGGCTGGAACTTCCACTGGTCCTCCTCGCAGTCAAAGTACAGGCGGTTCATGATCTTGTTCTTCTCCTCCGGGGGGATGAAGTTCTCGATGATCAAGTATCTGGGGGAAAGGGAGGGAGTGACAGCAGCCAGAGGACAGTGGAGCGGGCAGGGGATGAGTGGGCAGCAGAAACATGGAAGAATATAGCGGGAATAGGGAAAAGGTAAAGTAGAGACAACGAAGAGGGAGGGGAGCAGGATGGGTGGATAGAGCAGGACATGGGAATGTGAGAGCCGGGGGAAAGAAGAAGGGGAGCAGGTGAAAACAAGCCGGGCGAGGAGATGGGACCGGGGCGGCAGAGCAAGAAACAGGGAGAGGAAGGCACAGCGCGGGAGTGTCAGTGGGAGCAGAGGAAAAGCCACGTAGCAATTCCTAGCGCCCTGTTATCAGCCAATACCCCTGCCCCTGCCGAGCCGGGGACTTCCCTCCCCGGGACTGTGTAACACGGTGCCTCCAAGCACGAGCTAATGACTCGCTGGGGGAATGAGAACGGCCTCCGCATCGTTGCAAACCTGCTCCCTGGTGATCTCGGTGCATGGCCCCTCATTCTAGTGCCGTGAGGGACACCGTGTGCCAGAAACCAAGTGCAAACTGGGGCTTGCTCTGGTTGCTAGCACCTGCCGAAGCCTGGGCTGCAACCTCGTCTGCTCTCCCCTGTGCTGGCTAAATGAAGCTAGCACAACTCTGCTAGTCTTCTGCCGTGTAGCAGGGCCTCCAGCAGTCCCAGGATGCCTGAACTACAGCATGCGCGTCAGAGAGAGTCTGTCTTCATTGCACGACTCCAAGGGATAGAGAGCCCTCCCTGCCCCTTGGCGAGCACCTGACAACTTTTGCTGGAAACATCTGAGTTTGATTTCTAGTCTGAATTTTGCTAGCTTCAGCTTCGGACCGTTGGTTCTCAATTGAATTGTAAAATCCTTGAAACGTCAGGCTGGAAGGGACCTCAGGAGTCCATCTAATCCAGACCCTTGCTCAAGGCAGGATCAGCCCTGATTGCACTGTCCTAGACAAGTGTTTGTCTAACTTATTCTTAAAACTGCACCTATGTGCGTCAGGGGGGTTTGAAGCCTCCCCCACAGGCGCTGGGTGCTGGCTGCAGCCCAGGCTGGGGATGGGGATGGGGACGGGGATGGGGCTGTGCCAGTGCTCCTGCTGGCACCAACCCCGCAGGGTCCTGGCTGGAGGGTCTGATCCCTCCACTCAGGGTCAGACCGATGCTGTATTTGGGGTCAGGAAGGAACTCCCCCCACCCTGGTCAGACTGGTACGGACTGGGGGATTTGCCTTCCTCTGTAGTGGGGGCACAGCCTCTGCCTGGGGTCTCTCGGGTGGATTTTAACAACCTTTTATAGAAGCAGGATGTTGGCTGCCGTGGTGCCCCTGCTTTTGCTGTGGCAAGTTAGGGTTTTATGTCTGGTGCTCTCTCTCGGTTTACAGTAGTCTTATGAAGAGTTTAGATGCTGGATCGTAGAGGATGATTTGGGCAGGGCGGATCCTGCCTCAGGCCAGGGCCCGGGCCAGATGTGACCCCTGGAGCTCCCCGCCAGCCCTCCTCCTCTACGATTGCTGCGTCTCCTCTGTGCTGCTCTTGGATAAACCACATGGACTGAGCTGCTCAAGGGCATTTCTAGATATGCTCTGGAGGGCAGGGGGCACTTTAATTAGTGAATTAATTAAAGTGCCCGGAGTGTCATGTGTATCAGCATCCCCGCGCTGAAAACCGGCAGTCGGGGTGTGAAACGAGCTTTAGTTAAAGTGTCTCCGCCACCATTTTCCAGCGTGGGGACGCCGATACATGTGATGCTGTCTGACTGTCGGAGAAGCTTCCCACACCTCAGACCTTTCTCGCGGCTCATTCCCCTCTCAAATGTTCAACATCCTTTTGAGATGCAGGCACCAAAAATAGGCTGCAGATCACCAATGCTGCACACCGAGGTCGGACCCTCTCCCCGTTCCCGCTGGGAGTCCCCCCCGCCCAGGCAGCGTGCTCGCCCGGCTAGCCACACACCAAAACCAGGAACGAGGTCTCTTTGGGTCAACCCAAAAGGGGAACTTTTCAAGACTTTTCACCCAATTGAAAAGTCAAAAAGCTTTGGATTTGGGTCGAGCTTTTAAGCGTCTCTTCACTTCCACCATCGATGGAAATAAAAGCAACGCCTGGAACGAGACACCGTCTCTAATAAAAACAGTGCATTTGGAAAATGCCAGAAGAGACAGGCTCAACCTTTTTTTTAGGAGGTTAGCTGTTTTTTTTTAAACCAAAACAGTCAGCTGGGATCGGCAGAAATGCCTGTTTCAGTCCAAATGAATCTGCAGTTTTTCAGTGAACAAAGCTTCAGCTGAGGACATCTGCCTGGCTCTAGCTGGCTTCAGCCCCCCTCTGCAAGCCCGTGCTCGCTAGGTACCTGCCACGACCCCCGAGTCCTTTTCGGTGTCCTTGCCTGCTGGGATGCAGTTTCCCAGCAGATCGACGTGACCTACCTGCGAGGCACGTCCGTGCGATGGTTTCGTTCAAACATGCGTTGTTCGCATGGGCCTGTCTTACCAAATCATCCACGTCAGTCTGTACAACTAATTGGTCCCCACAGCTATTTTTCAACTTCCAACTGAAAGTTTTACCGGTAATGATTTTCTATTTTTTCCACATCACTGGTAGAGACACTAGCTAGCTTTGGGACAAGGGCATTCC